CAAAAACTGTTGCCTTTTCAATGCCCTCTCCTTAGTATTTGTGTGTAGAGGGTACTGAGAAGGCAACATATTTCGGTAGAAAAGAAAACGCCATTAGTTAGGAAAAACACCCCCTATTTTCCAATTTTTCGGATATCGAAAAAACGAAGAGCCTCGAAAAAAGTCTACATATCGAGCCCTCACCACAAAAAATTTTGGATTTTTTTTTAAAACTTACTTCTTGAAGCAGAAATACTCTAGGACCTAGAGTCTAGATGAACAAAAATCTGACGGAGAGTAAATATTTAGAAAATGAAAGCAAATTTTCGCCGAAATGCCGATTCAGAATAAGAAAATAGGGGCAAAGTTTAATGCTTCGATTCCGAAGCGCCCCGCAAATGAGAAATTGGTCATTTAATTTTCTTTTGTGGCGTATGTTTGGACTTTAGGGTGTTTGTCGAGAATTTATTTACACTTTTAGCGGTGATAGCAGTAAATACACATCATATTCGCTGTAAAAACTTTCGAATTATGGCCCGTCCATGCGTTCTTCAAGTTGTCAAGTCAACTTCGCACAGGTGCAAAGGCAGTCTAAGAGCATTTATGCATCAAAATCAATTTTGAACAAAATTCGTTTGAGTTAACTGCGGTTTGAAGGAAACATGAGACCGTAAAATTTTTATTTGTTTGTTTAATCCTCTGAACCGCCCCTGTTATGATATGGCACTTCATTCTATGTAGTAGTTTACAAATATACACGTATACTTCTACAATCACAAAAATTTTCATAGGCACAATCACAAAAATTTTCATAGGCTGTCTTTCTTTGATTTCGAATTGAAAACACATTGTGATCATATTGTACTAGCAATATAGAAGTATTACATATATGATTGTCGGTATAAAATATAAAGGAAAATTATCGCTAAAGCACTGTTACAGAATAAGCTCGTCGCAAACGCAAGCGATGACTGTCGTATATTGCGATATCGATTGTCGGTCGGTAAAAGAGTTACAGAATAGCACTACAGAATCGCTAAAATATGTCGATTGTTTTGTTAAGGAACAAATGTTTATCAATGTTTTTTGGCTTCAAGCAGCAAATGTATTAGGGCGGGTCGAAAATCTAATTTTTATCAAATCCCTTTGGAATAGTGAAAATATATTGTATCATGAAGTCAACAACAAGCCTGCAAAATATTAGTATTTTATTTTAATTGTAAGAGCCCGCGCATCGACCGCCAAGTGACACACAGCATACTGGTCGAATAAGATCAATTCTTGTTAAAGTTTCTGGGTTCAGCAAAAAGGTTTGGTGCATATTATTAAATAATCAATCCGCTAACACAAAAGATAAAGTCAAATATTATTTCTCGCAGCCCTTTAGCTTATCGGTAATCTCAAAGTTATTTATTATTCAACCAAATTGTAATTCTTTTGTTGATAACTGCACTGGTCTTTAGTCAAAATATTCTACTCTTTTTTTAGTATTAGATATAGTTAGCCAATTTTTGCAAATTTGGGAACAATTTCAGCTGCTCTAATAGAATAACCATTCTTTCCATCGCCGTGGAAAAATTTTGTTTATACAAATGAGTATGGAAACACAAAGCAGGTACAACTTCTAGAAACACTTATTAGATTACATATGTTTATGCATACACGAAAACTGCAAATATAGGAAGTTGACAAAAATTTTGGTTCAACATTTATTTCATTTTTAAATAATTTTTTTTTTTAATGATGTGAATGTACGAATTTTAAACAAACAGCACAAAAACTGTACATACTGAAGATAAAAAGGGTCAGCTAGTTTTATAACTGGGAGTGTAACATAATAAACTATTATTTATTTTTTCTTCCCTCACATTCGTCTATTATTTGATACATATTTTCATAACATACATGTTTATAGATTAATTATAATTTTTGCAATAATACTCGCAGTGCTTTATAAAAATCATGTTTTGTTATTGAAGAAGTACAAACGTTAGTTTATTACACTAGAGTTCTAGTAAACATATACAGATTTTGTATTGCTCTTGTATATGGTATTTATATGTACACATGTAAGCGACATTTGTTTTAAATCTTTTTTTTTTGTTTTTGATGCAGAAATGCATCGAGACTTTCTGCATCAAAAACAAAATTTGAAAAAACTTCGTTTATATCTTTTTGGCGGGCCGGGCTCGATATATAGATAAGTACATATGCATACATTGTATATATTAACTAGCAGACCCGGCGAACTTCGTCCCGCACGAAATTAATTTTTTGTATTGAAACATTTTGGTCCAATATTTTCACCAACAGTCCACGTTGATGATTTTCAGTGACGCATTAATCTTCTAATATTACGGTTTGGTGGTTGTCGGAAGGCATATTTCCATTGCTATCTTAAGTATCCTAGCAGAAGTGTATATGCATACAAAGATACGTAATAGCTTCAGTGCGTTTGAAAGGCGCCACGCCCCTTATAAAATAGCCGCAATGTTCTCTAAAAGTATGGGATTGATTTCATATATCTCCATACAATGTTCGAGTACTCTACCATGAACACTTCCGGAGATATGCAGTCTGAAAACTTCGGTTTGTATAGGAGGTGCCACGCCCCTTTTTCCAATAGCCCCAATTTTTCTTCGTGACTATGCGATTTATTTTATATGTCTTGTACATACCAAGTTCCAGTACTCTACCATTAACACTTGCAGAGATATAAAGTGTGAAAAATTCGTTTTGTACGGGAGGTGCCACGCCCCCTGCACCTAGCGGTATGAAATATACTTTACATCCGATTCTCATACCTACCATATATGCACAAAAAATTTCATAAAGATCGGTCAAGCCGTTTAGAAGGAGTTCGACCACTAACACCGTGACACGAGATTTTTATATATTAGATAAATTTTGAAGGACCACGATTAAAACAAACATCTTTTCTTCGCATTTATTTGAATTATGGAATACTAGCTTATACCCGCGGGTTTCACCCCGCGCTTTTATACAAATATGAAAAATAATTTAATGATGTTAGATTTTATTTCTGTGCCCATTTCGTTATAGCTCGTTATCTTTTAAGCGAGTTAAGGTATTTAGGCCGTTTAAAACTATGAAATTATAAAATCTCGTCTGCGCGCTAGGCATACGAAAGATATCAATCCCTCTAAGTTTACCTTAAAATGTTTCCAGGTATACGACGCGTGAACGTGTAACCTTCTTGGAGGTGCCACGGCGAGTTCTAATATTTCCAACACAAATTTAGTAACCTGGCCTTGATAAAATACAACTTCTCATTACTGTAGCAAATGCC